TCCCCTCCCCCCTTTTCTCTCTCATGGCCCCTTTGACTTTCGGGCAGCCTTGAACCATTTTCACCCGTGTGACCATCACAGCCTCCCTGTGGTCACGAGATCAGACTCTGAATGCTTGGCCACTAGTTCGCAGTTATGACGGCCGCAGCATCCTGGAGTCCGTGATCGCAAAGTCAACGGGAAAAACCAGATTCACTTAACAACTGCAGGGATTCACTTAATTTTTGGCAAGAAAGGTCGTAAAACAGGGCAAAACCCATCCCACGAGAGTTGCTGAGCGACAGAAACGTTGAGCTCAATTATGGGTGTAAGTGGAGGGCTGCTTGTGAATGACCGGGGGATGGCGGGTCAGGGGAAAGGGCCCGGGGCTTCTACGGTGGAGGGAGCCCGTCTGTCAGCAGAACGGAGCCCCCTGCCCCCCTCCCCCTTCCGGGATGCTCATTGTGACTTCGCTGGGCTTTTGCTTCCAAGGCCTCCGAGTGGGTGGAGGGCAGTCAGGCGGTGGCTGCAGGCGCAATGATGGTTGCCCCCAGAATGGGTCCCCCTCAAAGGTTGTAAGGGGGGGGGGCTCCCTCCAGAACTAAGAGGGGGAGGGTCTTCTCCAACACCTTCCTGCTACACCCCCACCAGGAGTTCCTCTCCTCTCTTCCTCCTGGGCCCTTCCCCTGGACAGCCCCCTCCCCTTCCTTGGCCTCCCTGCTCCCCCCCCAAAGCCCAGGATTTCTCTCCCTCCACTGAGGTGAGGGGGGGGGTCCTGGTGTCAGGAAGTGAGGAGCGCCCCCCCCCCACTTTCCAGCCCTTTTCCCAACTTGATTCAGAGGCAGAAGTTTTTCTCAGCCGGCTTGTAATAAAAGGCTCCCCTCAAGAACCCCCCCCCCCATTTCTCTTCTGGCTCTTTCTGGCCCCTCCCCAGAGGGTGGCAGCAGCAGCTCCGCCCTGCCCTCCCCTCCTTTTCCTAAAAAGCCCCAAGTTGAAGAAGCCGGAAAATGCCTCCTCCGTCCCTCAGCAGGAAGTGACTCAGCTGCGGCGTCTCAGAGGGCCCGGCTGGCTCAGATGCCTGGAGGGGCCTTCTTCTCGTGGGGCGCTCCTGGCTGCCCCCCACTCCACCTCCCACCGGCCCCTTGCATCCCCCCTCTCAGAAGCCCTGGCCCCCATTTGTCCGAGTGCCCCCCCCCAGGTGTTGCATGCACAGGGGAGAACCCTTTGGCCAAGGGCTGGGCTTGCGCCATTCTTGCTGTGCTCCGGGCCCCACAGCTGCATTCCCTTTCTGCCCCACACTGGGGCCTTTGGGGCCTGCTCCGAGGAAGGGGCGGGGGCCCTGGCACTGTGGGGCCCCCTGGGAAGTCTTGGGCCCCTGGAGGCCCCCACACCAGAATTGCCTCTTTCCACAGATCAGCCCCAGCACCTCCCAAAGAGAAGGGGACCCACTCCACCCAGTTCAGGTCTGCTTGGGGGTGGGAGAGGAAGAGGGCCCCCCCTGCTCTGCCCGCCCCCCAGCCCACCTGCGCCCCTCTGGGGAAGCTGCCTCTCTTGGGCATCAGGGGGCTGGTCAGAGAATGACTTGCTTCCACTGGCAAGGAAGGGAGTGGGCAGCACTGCCCCTGTCCCTCAATCCTTGGGGTCGCAGGGCCCTCCTGCCCACTGAGCCCCTGGCAGCACGTAGTGGGCACCTTTGCTTCCCTTGGCAGGATCACGCTGGGTAAGCCAAAGGCCCCTTTGCCTGACCCCCCGAAGAAGACCCAGGCCCAGCAGCCGGAGAAGCCCCCGGGCAGGTGAATGGGGGGGGGCATGGGGGGAGGAGAGGGGAGACGCTGGAGCACTCGCAGTGGTTAGAGGGCAGTACTGCAAGCTACTTCTGCTGCCAGCAGTTTGGCAGTTCGAATCTCACCAGCCTTCCCTCCTTCCGAGGTGGAGGAAGCCAGGAGGCTGGGGGCAAGAGGCCGGCTCTGCAAACGGCTTAGAGGGGGCTGGAAAGCACCATGAAGCGGGTCTAAGGGCCATGGCTATTGCCAGACAGCAGGCGTGCCGGGGCCCACCTATGGGAAGTCCCTCACTGGGGGTGGTCGATGCCCATCTGCTGGGCTCCTGCAGGGACCCCTTTCTGCAACCTTTCTTGGCCCCCCTGCAACTCAGCCCCCCACTGAAGG